GGAAGGGGAGAGTGTACATAGCTGAATAGACAGACACAGAGGGGAGGGAAGGGGAGTAAGCACATAGCTGAATTTCTACCCCTTTCTAATTCTGTTTATCTTTAAGAAATGGGACACCTGTGGTAAATAGTTCCCTTTGTACCTGGACTGGCGAAACTGGCTAATACCAAGAGAGCTGACTGAAGAACTTCAAGAAGACCTCAGGCTTCACTGTAATCTCATTTCCATGCCAAATGACACCTCACCAGCACCACGACAGTTGACAGTTGCCATGACAACAACTGGAAGAAGCCATAAAAGGAAGGCAGCACTCTGGTTCCCAGAAGTTCACTGTCCATTTCCAGAAAAAGAACCAAGTATTCCTCCTCTAGATTTTACTGCCCGACATCTTCATTAGAAAAACCCTAATATTTTAATCCCTTCATCCCTCACTAACTGAAAAGTTCATCTGAGAGCTTTGTTTCCAATCCTCCATTCTTTGGCTATGGAATAAACTTTACTCTGCTTGATGCTCACATTTCATGTAATGGCTCTGTGACACAGAACAGGGAAAGATCCCATCCTTTGTGACTACTGAGTTTATCAGTAACAAAAGGAAGGAGAGCTCAAGAGAGTCCTGTGAGTTGCAAGATGCCATGAGGCTTTGAAACAAAGGTTTCTCCAGAGGGAATAGCTTCTCCCTGACTTTTTGAGGCCAGAAGCATTTTGTGGCACAAGAAACAGTCTAGCACATATCCAACCACCAAACCACCTGTATTTGGAGGATCAAAAATCTCCTAAAGTTTGGTAACTACATTAAGTTCATTTCAAATCACAGACCCTTCACTGCCCAGTCAGGGAAGCAGGCGAAGGCAATGACAGCCATCTGAAGAACTTCAGCCCAGTGAGACAACTGCATCTGTGACTGACTGAGATGCTTTCCAACCTTAGTCTGGATGGGAACAAATGACTGTTTCATTCTTTGAGGCCTGTTCCCTTAGATTACCTCCAGAGGGGATGCTCTTTCTTATAATGAAACACCACACAGGCACCCAGGGCTGCTTAGAATGACCTATGATTAGAGAAACAAGTATTTCAAATGTTGTCTCCAAACCTAGTCACATGGGGAGAGCTTGGTTTCAGATGCAGGGACTTGAGGTGGTCAGGGGAGCTCATGATTAAGTCCAGTGATGGAGCACACAACACATTCCTGCCACTAGGAGTTGTAATCTGCCATCGACAAGAAGTTGTAATCATACGAGAGGGTGAATAGAGGCAGAAGCCAGTTTAAGGACATGCTCCACTCTTTCTCTGCATTTATTTTCTCTAGCATGGGGATTCCACAGGTTTGAGCACTGTTAAACACATTGCTAATCACAAAGGTGAGCCTGTTTGAGAGGGCACTGGGCTTTGCAGTTAGCATTATATGTGAAACTCTCCAGCTTCCAGTTGACCCAAAAGCCAGAATATCACAAGGACACAGGGCACATCACCCACATAGAAATTTAGTATTGATCCAGCTGGTTTAATGTCTGGGGAAATTCTGCTAAATGTCTCACGTGTCCTTTCCCATGCCATGGCCCGTGCCCCTGTGTTTTCTTCATTTAATAAAACAATAGATTTTTATATTTGAAGTTGGCTGGGGAGACAGAAAAGACCAGGGGGTGTCAACAACAGAAAATAACCATGATAATGGACAGAGAGTCATTGGAGATTATGGACTATTTATTGGATATGACTATGTAATCAAGTAATTAGATATATTTCTACCTTAGGCACAGTTGCTTAAATCAAAATTGAAATGGAGTCAAAAAATCTCATAACATGAACGCTGTTAACTAAAGTCTATAATGAGGGCGACTTGAGTTTTGCTGATGCTAATGGGGCTCCATGTGAATTTTCACCATGATGGATGGCCCCTGCCCACGGTCACTGGGCAGCTCAGTTCACCAAAGGAAAACCAGTTATTTATCTTGATCAGGCATCCTGCCTCAAACATCCACCTACACTGCAGTTGAAGACCTCGCTCTGCACCCCTCCTCCCAACGGAAAACCTTTGAGGCCTCCTTGATTTCTCCCTTAATACCTGAGTGTTGAATGAACAAAACTTCCCTCTCCCAAAGCACTGCTGCTTCTTAACATGTACCAGGGGAAAGAAACATGGAGCAGGGATTCTCAGCCTGGGCCGCATTCACATTTGGGGCTGGATAACTCCTTGTTGGTGGGCGGGGGGGTCTTGCAGTCATAGGACACCGAGCAGAATCCCTAGTCTCTAGCCCTCCACCCACTTGATGGCAGTAGCACCTACACCTCAAAGTTGTGACAACAAAAAAAAATGTCTACAGACATTGCTCAATGTCCCCTGAGAGGTACAGTGAGCCTCTCCATCACCCAGTTGAAAACAACTGGTGTGGACAGTGAAGGGGAACTCAGCCTTGTGAAGGGGAACTCAGGTAAAATAAGCCCGACTCAGAGCCTTTTAGACATCCAAGAAAGCTGTGTTCCTCTCCTGGCTGACTCCAAGGGTGTAAGTTGAACACATAATGGCAGAGCTGAACTGGTCCTTGGCTTATACCAATAACCTGTACCAACAGATGCGTGTTCAGCTTGGGCTACAGAAATCTACCATGACGCAGTTTTGATTCGATTCCCAAATATGGTTCTAACCGTCACTGAACATAAATTCTCTTGCTTGGCTTTCCCAATGGCCCACAGAGGATGAATATTCTCCCTCTACTGCTCAAAGTTCCTTTCTGTGCCTGTTGGTCAGTAACGGTTTCAAAGCCCGAGTTGCCAGCAGGCCTTGGGTACACCAGCAGCAGCATGAATTAACCATTCCCTAAAGACAAGAGCTGCGATTCCACATTCCTTCACTTCATCACGTAACACCACCACAGCTAGAAAATGAGGAACAAAACAGGGTAGGGCCAGAGAGTGCTAAAGACAGGCCAGCCTCACATCTTAGGTTGTCAGTACAAGATCACCATGCAAAGGATCTCACTGACTCAAAAGATAAAGGAAAAATTGATTCAATTCTGAAACCTCCAGCCATTCCCCAAATCCAAAGTGGTTGAATAAAAGTGAAAACGTGGCATTCATAGCTTACAAATAAATCATGTTCCAAAAAATTTATCTGCCTCCAACTCAGTTGTTTGGGAAACACAACGCATCCTTCCTGAGAAACAATGCACTAGGCAGCAATGATACCACTCTGCATGTGTGTAGTACATTTCCATTTACAAAGAACATTTGGATCCATTATTTCATTCAATCTATGAAAAGCTCTGTGAAATATTTAGGGATTCATTGTTCCTGTGCTCAAAGAAGAAACTGGCTCACAAGAGATCAATGAGAAGCAGTCCTACAAAAGGCCGTTTGGCCCATAGTATTCTTCATGGGGAAATGCCCCAACCACATAGGTAGGAAAAAATTCTGTGGGAAAATATTCCCAGTTCCAAGGAGTGTGGGCTGTGCCTTTGTTTTTCTTTGGCCCAAAGACTCTCTCCATTCTTCTGTCTCATGCTGTGGCTTCTTATCTAGAATTTCATCCAAGTCATTGACAAAAATAGAACAAGGGCAGGCCCAGACCCCAGCCCTGTGACCCTCTTCTGACCACCCCATCAAGAGGGCCCCAGACTTTGGTAGCACTTGATGCTTGCTGCATCCACCTGTCTAAACCATGTCAGCATCTCTTTCCCTATACCCTTCACCCTCTAGCCCAAAGCTGCTTCTGGGGTCATGGGACACCTGGATCATGAGCTCCAGGAGGGTACGGGGTAGGAATGAGACCAGGAAGGAACAGGAGAAGCTGGGCAGTGCTGGAAGAAGCACAGGTCTCCAGAGAAGAGGAAGGAGGCACTCTCAGCTAGGTGTTTCCCTCAACTCTGCCCTGTCCATTGCCTCATTACCACTGCAACACACCCCTGGAAAAGGTGTTAAGAGGGTAGTCCTGCAAGGCAGCGGGCTGCAAAGACAGGCAGAGGGAGGAGGTGAACAATGCCCAGCAACAGTCGGAAAACAGGACAGGGAGAGGAGGTTTGGGTCACAGACCTATCATGGAAGCCAATTCATCCAAAGAAGCTGGATTCAAGCATATTTTCTTTGCTTTGTTTGGTTAAAATGGACTCTGTATAGTGGAGCTCTTTACCAGTGCTTCTTAGACTTCATCAGCAATGATAGACTTCTTCATTAACCATGAAGATTCTAGGCCACTGCTCCAGATGCACCTCTAGAGAGCCCAGTTCCTAGATCAGGGCAGCCTGATCAAGGTGATCTTTGGACTGCCCTTGGGAAACCTTTCCCTAACCCCATGGTTCTCAGAGGCCACACCTCCTGTGGACATCACCTCCATCTCAGCTCTCTGTTTGCTCTGGCAGGTGGTGGTTGTCTTTCAGACAGACTGTGAGCTGCAGCTTCTCTGCAGAAGGACATGGCATGGTTTAGTTCTATTTCAGGAACAAGCCCCTCCCTTGTTTGTGTTACTCTGATTTTTAACAATGATCCCAGGACTGATATACATATATATATATAGGCAAACCTTATCCCAGGCTTGTACCTGCTGCTTGGAGCATTACTGGAATGAATCCCTGGCTGGATATACCCTTCGGAAGAGCATCCGTGGTGACAAATATGTCCTTGTAGGGTGAAGTTGATAAGCAAAGGAAGCCAAAATCCACTTGGCACGAAGTCTGAGGACTGAGGCAAGTGATCCAGCAGGAAAATCACACTTGGGTCTCAGGCCAAGGGTGACTCTAAACCAAAGGGCCTGATATTCTGGTGGGACTCAAGCAGTCTCCTGGAGCATGAAGGAGGAGGATGAGTTCCAATGCTTTCCCCAGGAAGGCCAGACCTCACTTGAACCGGAATATCTGCTTCAAAATTGTATCCACTCAGTCATTTCAGCCTCCTCTGGTTTCTGACAATGGGCACTCAGCCCCCCACAATGGTGCATTTCTACACCCAACCCTGGAGGAGAGCGGCAACCACAATGAGGACTAGTCAGGCCCTGAGCAGGGACTCACCTTGCCAGTGATGCTTGTAGTCGCACATGCGGGACTAGGGCAATCATCATGGCGCAGTACAAGGGCAGGATGGCAGCACAGAGCCGCCAGCTCTTTCCCCGCCCACTCTCGGTGAAGCAGTGCAGCTTGCCCGCCAAGTAGAACGTCGTGAAGCCAAGGCCAGAAAAGGCAACTGCCAAACAGAAACAGCAGGTGTTACTCCAGCAGGTGGTGAGTGGCAGAGACTCAGGGCGTGCTGGGCATTCCATCTGCCGTCTTGCACACCCCCAGGGCAAGGCCATGTTGGCACCAGGCACTATCTCAGCAATCTGTGTTCCTGCTAGAACTACGCTGCTATGAAACTTTCAACCATAAGAACAATCTTCCAGGGTTATACGCAATCAAAACCTATTTTACTTCATTCATTCATTCAACAATTATTTCAGGAGTATCCACTCTGTGCTAGACAGGCCCTGCACTAGGTATGGGGAATAAAAAGATACATCAGACACTATCTCTGGGGTCTAGAGGCTCATGGTCTAGTTGAAGGATAATTTTAATATAATGTGTTACATTCTGTAAGAAACAAGTACGTACAGAACAAAGGGCTGTGAGAACTGCTTAGATTTAAAGGGTATGGGAAAGTAAAGGGGCTTAGATCAGCCCCAGGTTTTTGGCTTGGGAGACTGAGTATACAATGATGTCATTCATTAAGATGGGATCAACAAATGCTACAGAGAAGTAAGTTTGATGGAGAAGTCAGTGATGGCAAATACCTTGTCTGCCGTCAGAAATTACGATTATTGTTTTTTTAGAAATGCAGACAACTCATGGCTGTGCTAAATCCATTGTCAAAAGTGTGGTGGTCTGAGTGTGGCATATATAAGCCCCAAGCTTTTCATTCAATCAAATCTAAAACAGAGTTGGGAGCTCGGTGAGATTTAAGGTGGTCTTCTGTGGGCTTAGAACAATGGTCCTCAACCCTGGCTATACAGAGTCACCTCTAATATCCAGGAAGCTTTAAGAAATACTGATAGCCAGGTTCCACTGCCTGCCATTCTGTTTGTAGTGATCTGGAGGGAGTCAAGAGAAAGAGAGGGGGGGAGAGAGAGAGAGAGAGAGAGAGAGGGAGAGAGAGAGAGTGTGTGTGTGTGTGTGTGTGTGTGTGTGTGTGTGTGTGTGTGTACTCCCCAGGTGATTCTAACGGCAGCCACAACTGAGCTTAGAGGCTTTTAATGAAGGCAGATGCTACAGCTTCCCACCCCTCTGGACATCAGTCTAATCAAAACTTTCTTCTTGATTAGAAAATATTTCTGAGGGGGCAGAGCTCCTAGGTAACCAGCCCACAGAGTGACTTGGCAAAACAAGTCTTATAAATACTCTCAATGCCAATACACTAGCAACTTTAGAAGCCTGCCCAAAGCCCTGAGCCACAGCCTGGGCATCACACAGGCATTTGTGACAAATGCAGATTCTCAGGTTCAGCCCACATCTACTGAGATAGAATCTGCATTTCACAACATCCACCAGCCACTGTGCACACACTGCACCTGGAGAAGCCCTGGCCTAATACATTGATCATCTTTATAAGAGACCTTGGAAAGTCCATCTTAAGGAAATAATATAAAATATAAGGGAAATCTAGAAGATTTTCTGCTCAAAGTTATTGATACATATTGAAAAACTGAAAGTGATCAGTATGAAAGGATAAGCAAGCTGTGACATTTTCATGTAATGGACCAAGTTGCAACCATGAAAACCATATGGTTATGTAACAAGATAGACAATACTTAGAATGCATGGTAACTGAAACAAGTAGGACCCTAAACTGCAAGGTCAAGATAATTACGATAGTACCAAACAGTGAACAACCTGCAGCTTTTCCAAATTACCTCTAATGAGAATATCCCTTCTCAAAAGTGATCTCGGTTACAAACACAAGATTTCAGCAACCAAATTAAACAAAGTTACAGTGGTTTAAAAAAAAATTTAATGGAATATTAAACCATGTTTATCCTAGGTACGAAGATGCAGCAAAAGAAAGTAAATGCGAATGTGAGTGGTGTGTGCACTGAAACATTTCTGCATAATGAGTAGCACTCAAACATCAGAGCAGCGCCAATATATATTAAGTATTCTGCTTAAAGTAAAAACATGTGAGAAGAAACTGCATTGTCCAGCCCTGCTCTAGATAGTATGATGGGAGGCTATTAAGTGGTTTACATGATGTTCCAAAGTGGCCCTGTTTGGCCACCATCCTAGCAAGTACAACAACTTCTTAAAATTCTACCCTTATCCACTTTCCTCTGTTCCTTCTATTCATTTACATTCTTCCTTGAGGTATCCCTAGGAGAGGGAGGCTGGAGAGTTAGCTTCCATTGCTATTGGCCCCATCCTGAGCTCTTACAGGAGGAATAATGGACTTTATTCAAATCAGATGGCTTAGCAAGTTTATCCACCTAATTACACTAAATGCCGGAAACACGCACGCACACGCACACACACACACACACACACACACACAACTGTCCTGAGGCTTTGTGTGGCTATGGATGAAAGTCTCCAAGATCTGAATCAGCGGAGAGGCAGCCTTGGGTATTGCCGAAATGGCATCTCTCAGGGAAACAAACAAACCAACAAAAAAGTCAATGAACATAGGGCAGATGTTGAGCAGGCATTTTTATGTGTTCCTACAAAAAGCGACTTGGAGATTTTAAGACATATGAGTCATTGGCTGAAGCAACTAATACCGCCTGCAGCAGCTCCGGGCACATCCAGGGCATGGAGAAGGGGAAGGGCCGTGGAAACCCTCCACTGTCAAGATGTCTGGCAAATGGTTTGAGGTGAGATCCTCAGCCTCCACCTGATGTCTCTGTCTCAGGAACTCAAATTTGGCCAGCACCAGTACCACAGGCTCTGATTCATTCTTTGGAGGGCAGGTAAAATGTATTCTCTCCCACAGGGTGGAAGCCAGGACCCCCCAATGTGACCCCTCCAAAATGTTGAAGCCTTTGCCTCTTTAAAAAGAGGAGTAATTCCAAGGCAGTTTTGCAAAAGCCTAGATCCTGCGAGCACCCAGCAGCAGCCAGTCTTCCTGGACACATGCTATTTGGGTTTTTTAATATTTTTTAAACATCACTATGTGCCCTTACTTTCCTAACTTACACAATGAGGCTCCAATTGCATGCTAAACCTTAAGCCTGTCACTTTCTTACTGATACTTACACAGTTATTGAACTAACAAAATGTCCTTTGGCAAAGGACTTCTGAGGCCATTTCCTCTGGCCCAAGGGCATGTCTGGGCTATGGGAAGCCCTGGTTTTTGCACTCCTGTTTTTCCCATAACTACTTAAGGAAGAATTAAACTCTACCAACCCATACTGAATTAATACAATTTCACAATTTTTCTGCCAATTATTCCTAGCAGCTAAGGGGTTGGGGATCAAGATGCAATCTCCCATGAGCAATCTCTCATCCAGCTCTGAAATTCTAGGACTCTAAATCATTAAGGCTCAGATTCAAGTTCAACTGGGAGGGGAAAAAAAAAACAAAAAACAAAACACCAGGAAGACTGTCAAGGACATGTTTTCTGACTATAGCCATAGGACATCCTACTCTCTTCTCAAAGAAAACAAGAATTTGACACACTGTGGGGAGGGGAGGGAGCTGTATAACCTTTTATTCTAGCACGGAACAAGTTTAATGACCCGCACTCCAAGTGAGCATCTGTCCCCCACCCCCCTCCATGCCCATCCTCCCTTTAAGCACAATTCTAGCTTTCAGCTTGACTAAGAACTAAAACTGAGACAGGAGCATTCAAAGACTTAAGGCACTAAACATTTTTAAATAGGGGGCTTATAAGAGAGGACACATATATTCATATCTTGCTAACATTACTAACAACAGAAATATGAGTAGAAAACTCCCAAGCCAGTGGTACGTGAGGATATTCAGAGTCTACCTGTCCTGGGTAGCAAACTTGTTCATTGGCTCTCAAGAGTTGGACAGACACAGACACACACACACACACACACACACACACACACACACACACCCCTACCTTTATTACTGATGGGAAGGAAGTAGGCAGAGTGACTGGTGGGAAGAGCATACGCCCTTCATTTTCAAAGCCTTGTAGCAGGTTTTTCTTACTTGTAGCAGCTGACTGTTAAAATTTATGTGCTGATCTGTCTGTGTGTAGGAAAGATGCTCTAAACTAGGAAGAAGATGAAAGGAGTAGCTTTTCTCCCTGTTTCTGACGCTTGTGATGCTCACTGGCCGTTGTGAATGAGAGTAGATGGGTAAAGCGCCACAGTAAAAGGAGCTTACGCAGGCGGTGACGCCAGGTGCAGCCCATGAACAAGGCTATCTGCCCGCCTGGTGACACTGAAAAGGAATCAGTGATTCTTCTCTCCCACAACCCAGATGAGTTCAAAACTCTCCCTTTGCAAAGAAAGGTTTAGTCATTGAACTAGCTTAGGTGCAATATTGTAACTTTTCCTTCACCCCCAGTTGACTTTTAAACCAAGTGGAAAACCTTTGGATCCTACTGATTGAGAGAAACACAAAACTGGCATAAAAAAAAACAAAAATCTTTAAGAAAACAAAGAATCAGGAAGACAGATCCTGCTTTTTATGTCGTATTTTTTTTAACCTTTGCTAATTATAATACATTTCTCCACACAAGCTGATAATTTCTGGCACTGAAGACACAATTGTTCCCTGATGAGTCAATCTATACAAATTTTCCATTTTGTGATGTTCAGAGAGTTGGTATCATCTCTAAGAGGGAGAAGGTTAAACATTAAGTAGTTTAATAAACCTTAGTGTTGAAGGGTGTTTTACAGAGGATGTAAGTGCATCTCCACAAGACCATTTGAAACAAAGGATGTGGGAAACCAGCCTGTCTGGTCAGTGCCTGCCCACCCTCATCAGCAGGAGGAAACTATGCCAAGCAGAGCAGGCAGAGGAGCGTTCCATCAGAAGGACAGCCAGGTGGTCAGAGGTCCAGTGCCTCCCATGGGCCAGGCCCTGTGCTGGAAGCCTTTCACTACCTTGCCTCATTTCAACCCCAGAACAACACAATGATGTAGTCATCAGGCCATTCTATGAATGAGAAGTGGAGGCTCAGAAAGCACAAATCATTACCTAAGTTCAATGCAGCTGTGAGTTCTCTTTAAACAGAGCAAAAAC